TCTATAGACGTCTTAACCATGCAAAGGAATATTTTTCTTCAAAAATTAAATCAGGAATGAAGCCAAAGAAGAGAATACATTTATGCCATCGATCAGCCACGGTTTTGAACCCTAGCCCTAAAGGTGAGAAGGCAGCTGGTGTGCTAACAGCTGCACCGCCCTACATCATTTTCAAAGTGGATATATTATGTTGGAAGCACAATTAAGGAATTCAGAGCACAAACGGTACATTCGCTGCATTGTGGCTTATAGAATGTTTGATGACTGATCCTGTATACAGTTTACAATTCAGAGGTCATTTCAAGACTGAGATCACCAATCAGTATTACTCCAGTCTTTATTATCTGTGATACTGATTTTCAATAAAATATTTTGGTATTTGGTATTAAAATTGTTCTGCTATCTATTTTTATTTAACTGCTACTAGAGGCTTCCAAATTGTAATCCATGAGAGAATCGGATTTCTATCAATAGCTTGGTACGAAAGCAATATTTCGAATTTTTTTTATTCTCTCGCACAATTTCCCAGATAGATGGGATCACTTGGATGGAGCAAGTGCTAGAAAATGATATAGGTTAGATTTTATACTTCAAAGCCGGTAACTCATCTCCCTTTCAACTGAAAGGACCATCAGGTGGGTTTCTTTAGAAACGAGTGCTCTGATCTCCATGATTTTCGTACTTCTTCAGGTCCTTGGTAATCCTTTGTGCCTGGGCGCTGGCTCAGGAAAATATTCTTGTATGTAGTCGTCAACTGACTGGCACACTATTTTGGTTTTCCTAATATCTACAATTGAAACAACACTACATTTCTATAGTTGTGATTATACCAAAAACACAAACTCAGGGTTGTACAACCACAGATTTAGAAGGAATTATGAATTCATCTCATGCCATCCATATTATGTCTAAACCTGTTGCAACAGTTTTATTTTCCAACACCCAGTTTATGTGCATAAACGGGCAATAATTAGATCAGAATAGTAGAAGTAACCGAACCATTGATTACCATTGCATTTGTTTTGGTAGCATTTCTCAGGCAGATGTTAATTCACGTGGCTGGAGCTCACACCTCAATCAGGTACCTGTGTTATAAAAAGAACCTTGAACATAATAGATTGAGCAGCCCCCAAATGGGTCTTCATACCCTCCACCTAATGCCCAGTTGATGTATGTTCCACATGGAAATCTCCACATGAGCACATCCACCTCTGCCCAAGTCCAAAAAAACAACTGAATGCATCGTCCTGCTGGGAAGATTTATATCTTTTCTTAATGTGCCACCATTCATTGGCACATGCTACTGCTTGTTTACAATGATGGTCTTTACAAAATTCTGGACAGTGTTGACATTTGAGGAATGGGATTTAAATAACATTTTCTCCAATTTAATGCTCATGCTTTCCATTAAATTGGTTAAATGGTTTTATATATTTCTGTGCAGTTGGTACACCAATCACAGTATTTTGAAATTACATCTATCCCAATTGACATTTTAATTGGGATCCAGTGTAAACTTGAACTATATTTGAATAGTGCTACGGAGTTTAATGGAGATGGAATTGTAATTTTACAATGTCAATGTCTGTATAAATGTGGCTTATATTTCAGCTATAAAATAGAGTTAAATTACCCTTCTACAGATGGCATTTGTACAAACACTTTACAAATTCATGGGCATTTGATATGTAATATTAAAAAGATTGCGTTACTACTCTGGTACACAACAATGTAGAGACACCAAACAGCTTTACTGCAGTAAATTCACTGTGAGGTACTCGCCAGGGAACTTTGGAGACAGCTTAAATTTGATGATAGAACCAGTCGCGTGCTTTAACAGCTGGGCAACTCTGAAACATGGATCTTGTCAAGTTGGCATGTCTTTAGAACAGTTAGTTACGAAAACTGGCATGATGTCCTTCCATCAAAATGACTGGTTTAATATCAAATCCTCAGCCTTTGTGGTTATTATTTTTCCCTTAATTTCCTTTTGCCTCCATAGTCATTCATGTCTGTCTTGCTGTAAATTATATTGCTCGGTTGGGGAAAAGGAGAAATGCCTTTAAACTTGAGTAACAGTCAGAATATTTTCCCTCAAAGACAAATGCCCTCAGTTGCATTTTATGGCAGTAACTTGCATCTGTATAAAACCTTAATGTAGAAAAACATCTCTAGGTGACTCACAGACCTATCTTTTTTGTTGTTGGTGGGTCGGGCATTAAGAATGGTGACCATAAATGCATTGGTCGGAGGAGATTTTTAGGAAGTTTTATCAATGCTAGGAATAAGGTAAAGTATTAAAGAGGTTTAGGGAGAGATTTCCAGATTGTAGACTTTAAACAGCTGAAGTTTCTACGCCTCCCTTTTGTGGAAAGGGAGGTGGCAAGGGCATGAGACCAAAAGCGCAGTGAATGTAAGGCTCAGAATATTTTTGAAGCAGATTGAGGTTAGACATGCAAAGACTTATTGATGAACGAGAGGTATCTACTGGGTGGTAGAGACCTAGTATATGTGATGAGCAGATCGATGGGCAATGAGGTTTTAGACATTGGGGAATTTCGAGAGATTGTGGTTTATGTACACTAGTTCAGTTATTGATTAGTCAATGTCCTATCAGTTTCCTGGATCATGCTGCTGGCTTTATTCATTCAAATTTAACTATCTAGATAAACTGATAAAGAAAAAATGTAGTGTATGGAAGCCACGACCTATATTGGCTAATCATTGGCCAGTATCATTATTTAAAATGCATTTGATTATGAACATTTTTAATATTCATGATATTTAAGCTAAATCTAGTGCGTATTGGTGAATTGTTATGAGTGTTGGGATGATGCATTATTTCTACACACAAATTTATTCATTCTTTAAATGCAGCACAATGTAGCATGTTGTAAAAAGAAAGTCAGAAGTCACACGACACCAGGTTATAGTCGAACAGGTTTATTTGAAATCACAAGCTTTTGGAGCAGTGCTGTTTTGTCCGGTGAAGGTGACCCTGCCTGATGAAGGAGCAGCGCTTCGAAAGCTTGTGATTTTCAAATAAACCTGTTGAACTATAACCTGGTGTCGTGTAACTTCTGACTTTGTCCACCCCAGTCCCAACACCGGCACCTCCACATCAAAAACGAAGTGATGAAGACTAACAGTATTGACTTTTGTTGTGACAGTTAGTCAACTGTAAGAAGTAATTTACAGGAATGTATAGTTTGATGAACAAGTATTCAGGATGCATTCTATTTGGGTTTCATACAGGAGCTATGTTAAAATGGCAGCAGACCAACTTAACACATCCCAATTAAAGTATTCACAAAAATGAACACCCCTTCCAAAAAGAAATAAAATGTCACTTTTGTTTTGTAAATGATTTTACAACCTTTTTCTTTGCTCCCCCAGCAAAACAGAGACTCTTGTATTATGTACAGGATGAGCTCTGGTAATTGTGAATGTTGTGACCACCTGCTTTCAAGCAGGAGGAATATCAGTGAGCTGGTCCATTGAGGAATATCCCAAATGGCACGGAGAAGGGGATAAAAAGGAAGACAAAAAAGGAAAAAAATGTCCAAATCAAACCGGGGAATGGAAATGCGTGTTCACATAATCACGTATTGATTTGTGATGTGACCATTTAAAACTTGTTTGTCCAGTATATTTGTTAAATTATAATTATTTTGAAACTCACCTGAGTAACTGTTTTATGTAATCTGAAGGAAGGACCATGAAAAAGGGGCTCAAAGTCTTTCAATTATACTGACTTTTCGTTTTGGCTGTTTACTGGGAGTGCATATTCTGTGTTGTGTATTGGTGTGTCAAGGTAGTGTTCACTCATTTTCGTGCTGCAGCTGTATAATTGGCTGTTGCTGCTGCTATCAAAGACTTGAGGGAGCTTCTTTTGAAGCAAAGCTGATCCCTTTACAGCCGCAGCTAGCAAAGGGAATTCAGTCAGTGCGTTGATGGACTTTGCATTATTTAGTGTAGGAGCAGCTGATCCAACCTTGATTACAGTCAGGAAGCAAAACGTTAGTACTGTGCATTAGGGATGTGTACGCGATTCATATTGTTGATGTTGTTGCACGAATGATGCAAAATTCTTCACTTTTAACTTTGTATTCTAAGAGAAAAGAACGCACAAAAAAATTAAGAAGCACCAATGTCTGATTTCAATCATAGATGACAATTTTGAAGCAGCAGCATAATATTTTACAAATGTAAATGTAAAGTGTAGGTGGTCATTGCTAATCAGTTATCCTAATCTCAACTATATCCTCACTTTAAATAACGTTCAGTTGGCCTCTTATCTTTGAATATAGAAAGGGTGTCTCAACTCATTAAATTTAATTTTATTTTTGTAGGTCAAATACATATTGGATAACTCATGAGTAGATAGAAATGAAGGAAATAAGGTCTGTGTAATCAAGCATATTTTTTCCAGATGTGAGGGTTTGCTTTTGTAAAGCCCTCTGTGTAAGTTTTTAACGCTTAAAAACAGATAGATGATGAGAAGCATCCATTTATATTATTAGGCTGCAACTGCAGAAATGTGGAAAATGTTTTCACAGTCACTAGCTCTCACAAGTGTGATAAATTAGTAATGGCAATGCAGTGGAAGAATCAAGCCTGCATTTGATCATTTTGTTTCTTCAGCAATAAGATTTGTAACTAAAGTGGCTTGAGGCAGAAATAATGCTTTATTTAGTATCAATGTGTGTGGGCATTGCATCAAAAAATGAAAAGTACTCTTTGCTTTTAAAGCTGTTGTTAAAGCAGCCAAAGTATGCAGAAGCTTGCATACTGCTATTTGATACTGTTTCAAAATATCTGGCAGTCGCTATTACACTGTATCTGGTAGCAACCATCGGAGGAGTGGCCTTCTGTGATTAACTCGGGTAAAGGCCGGAAAACCCATATGTTTCAGGTTTGGGAGCAGACAGATGTTGAGTAGGAGGTCAGAAAACAATGCATAAGCTCCCCCTCTCACCACCGCTCCCCCCACCCCTAACATACACATGCTTGCACACGCCTTCATCCATAATTGATGCTTGCTTTTGGCAGATGCTTTAGGGCCTAGTATTCGAGCTCATAAGTTTATGGAGGAGAAAGGGAGAAAGATGGTGCAGCAGGTATTATTTTTCCTTTGCTTTGAAATGTATTTGTGAGATGGGGTAGATATGAGGGAATTGTTTGAATTGTGAAACTGGGCATTAGGCGCAGGTCCCATGTGAGAGCTAGACTTTGCTACAGTGTGAATTGCTCGTGCTGTAAGTGCTGCAGTGATACGAGGTTCTGTGGTGCTGCTCTGGTCTCCAGGTGCACAACAGCATTACACTGTTAAGGCTCAGTAATGCAAGCGTGGCAGCAGGTTTTTTGGATACTCTGAGGAGTTGTTGGATTATTGTTCATTTCGCTGTTACACTAGGGAACTCTGTAACTGTGCATGAGCCCACATTGCTCTCCTGATGGTGTGGCAGTTTTACTTAATATAATTTACATCAACCTCGCAGCACTTAATGTAAGCTGCAGATCCTCTGTGTTTGAATGGTGACACTGTCTTGTGTCCTTACCGATTGTCACAAAAAAATCCCAATGTAATTGACTGCAGAAAGCAAAAAGAGCTCTGAATCACTTTTTTTAAAACTGGCTCCTTCGACCTTTTATGTGGCAGAGGAGTTTTACGAAGCCTTCAGAGCTATGTCAGAACTGACAACTTAAAAGGATTTTTTAATGTGTTGGGTCTGCGTAGACCTCGATGTGATTAGGCTGGTTTTTAGTTATATTATCGCTTGCCTTCAAGCTGAAAGCAATAAACTGGGTTTTTAGCTGCGCCACGTAAAGCATATTTTCGAGCTAAATGTGGTTTTCATTAGATTTGGGCCAGCACATTTAGCAAAGGCTGACAGTCTGCCATCCTTTGTTCGTCTCCTCTGCTGCCAGCAACTACTTTATAAGGGATTCCAAGCCCCAAAGCAGCTTCAAAAAAAACCTGATGATTTCAATAACAATCCTCACAGTGTCAGACGCTGCTGAGACATCACACTATAAACAGTTTCACATTTGTGCTAAACATTTGAGTTTTAAGCTGCAGGAAGCTTTGGGTGCTGAGGTAATGTGTGAGAGTTTAGTGTTTCTAATTAAATGTTGGCAGTAATTATCACAAAATGTGAAAGCATGAATATTAATTTTTTTGGGGGGGAGCAGCATTGAAAGCACTGATGATGTTAATAAGAGTCTGCAGGGTCCACACAACAGCTGTTTTATGGCTGAGGAAAGACTAGTAGGAGAAATCAGCATGCCAACTATACCTGAAAATGAGATTTCCCTGTCTTTACTCCTGTTCATGTTATTCTTTCCTCTGATCCACAGGGTAACCAGGAAGCCACTGCACCCCCTGACACTATGGCGCAGCCTTATGCGTCAGCTCAGTTTGCTCCACCTCAGAATGGGATCCCGACAGAATACACAGCTCCACATCCCCATCCAGCTCCGGACTACACAGGCCAGACCACAGTCCCTGAGCACACGTTAAACATGTACCCTACTGCCCAGACACATTCAGAACAGAGCGGTACCGACACAAATGCACAAACCGTGTCCGGAACAGCTACAGTAAGTGCAAATTTTCTACTTTTCCAGTCCACAGGTTCAGAACTACAGTCCTTTTGGTCGTCTGCATTTCATCACAGAAGTACCAGCTAATTAATGCTGGGTTAATATCATGACTATAAAAAGATCTGTTGGCTCTGAACTGGAGTTTGGATTTCACTTTTGTCTTCTGTTGATTGAAATATTTTTCATAACCTTTCAGGACTTCAGAATATTGTCACCACTTTTCTTTATTGAACGGGCAAAAAGCTTCTTGGAGAAGTCTGTTTGTTTGGGAGGACACAGTAGCTGAACAACCATGTGTCATTCTCTTCATGCAATTTACGAATTACACAATGGTTTTCATACTCTTGGGTCAGGTGCTTGCAAACCTAAAATTTGGTTTTGTCAAACACTTTTTTCTCAGATTGTGTCTTTTTAATGTGTTCAAATTTCAAGAGATCTAAGTATCACCCAATCACCTGGCTGTTCAAGGAGCCAATAAAATGTACCATCTACAAAGCTTGACTGAAAATTTACATTTAACCACCAAGCACTCCCAGGAGGAAGCAGGAGCTTTGAGGCCGATTGCATTGAGCAGTTTACTGAAAAGCTCTGATGTCATACACTTACTTCCATGATGGTAAGAATAACAAAACAGAGCATTGTGTCTGGCCTCTGTTGCTGTAATTCTGCTTTGTTTGGTTACATTAAAAATGGAGCTGGACGTATCACCCATCATCTAAGGTCGAGACGTTTTTAAGTTGATTCCAATGCAAATTCCAAACTTTTTAGGAGTACAAGCTTTGAGTTATTAAAGTAATGTTTGTATTAATAAGAATACTGCTATTAGAATAACCAGAATCTAGTAATTTGTGATGTTGTGTTTAATTGCGTACTTTGCGTATGGAAAGCATACAATGTTTAATCAAGGAAGCATTGAAACACATTGACCAGTTCCACTCAAGTATCAACCCTCCAAAAAGGCATTTGCTAAAGTTGCTAGTCCAAGGGGACTCCTCAGTGCATACCTGGCAATGGTTCTAATCAGGACAGTCATAGCCTTGGAACTTTGCTGTTGATTTTTTTTTGTCAAATACTCCATCAGTGCCAGATCTGCAGATGTAACAGCAAGGTCAGGAGATGAATGTTATCTGTTAACATCAGCATAATATTTTAGTGGTAGCTGCGAGGCAGTGTTACCAGGCTGAACCTGGCAGCTTGTCTCAATTTCATCACAGTTGATCCATAAAACACTTCAGGTATCATAGATGCTAAATACTTTGAGGATGAAATATTAATTTTCCATCTTGTTTTAATCTTACCTTCACTGATAATGGGAAAATCAGCAGATTATATTCAATTAATGCTTCCGCTTTTGGGTGGCTTTGGATAGAAAATTGATGGAAGCCCAATGGAATTCACTTAAATACCTAGAAAAATATCCACAGAATATTGACGGCCAGGGGTTCTTGTGGTACAGTGGTAATGACTCTACTTCTGAGCCAGGAAGTCAGGTCTCACCCTGTCCTGGATGTTTGTCACAACGTGTCTGAGGAGCTTGATTGACACGCTGAAGGCCAGTCAGTCAGAGACACATTTTAGTTTGGAGGCAAGTGTACCATTGAACCATTCATGTATTCCCCCCGCTATCTTCTACTCCAAACCAAAGTCCCACATCTAATGACTATGTGAACAATCTGTTAATGAGCTTTAATGCTGCAACGTTAGTTGTCAGGAAATGGGATGTAAAGCATAAATTGTTTAATCAGCCCAAACTGCCTTGCTGGGTCGCATCACATCAACCAGAAAACTGGAAAATATGTACCTGATGGGACAGATAGGGCAAAAACAAATGACATTTCAAACATCTGACCCTCTGATTGGGAATCACTCCAACTTTCTGGGTGGGATTTTCCAGGACAATGGCAGATGGATGAGCTTCATCAAGCAAGAGGCCAAAGATCAGATTCTCATTGTTGAGAAAAACCTTAGCGATTAAGTTCTCTGCCTTCAGGTGATGGGGCAAGTATGTTGGCAATAGCTGGCGTGAAGCCTATCTGCATGTACTTGCATCTCATGAATACAACAACTTGTTTGCATTAACTTCACCTCCCCAATTAACTTGTACCCAATCAAGAAATTTGATGCTTCGGAAACCCTACAGTGAAATGTAGGTGTGTACCTAGTGAATTGCAATTCTTGATCCATTTTGAAGTAAGTACTTGTCTGTTTGTCCTTATGGTGGTAAGGCTTTAAATAATGTTCACACTCATTTGAGCTGTCACTTCTCTAAATGCAGTTGACATATCCATGTGGAGCAAGGCATCCTGTCTCCCTGGGTCATCTCCAACTCTAACTGGCACAGGGCTGACAGGGAGCAGCTTGTGGCTCAAGGGCATGCTTTGTTTGCACAGTATGCAGGGGGCTGCTTGTAGCTAAACAGCAGGCACATAGCGGAGAGCTGCATATGGCTTAAATTAGTAAAATTCCGACCCAAATGTTTAATTCCTCTCTGGCCGCAATGGAATGGAGGACAGCTTAATGCACTTCCATTTTTCTAGAAGGGTGGAGAGACAAACCAGGTAATTACAGACTAGTGAGTCTCACACCAGGGGGAGACAAGCGATTAGAGAAAATTCTGGAGGAGGGAATTCATCTGCTGTGTAGAGGCAAGATTGGCTCAGGAACTGTCAGCATGGCTTTGTCAGAGGGAGATTTGATACATTTTTTCCAGGTGGTGACCAAGTAAGTCGATGAGGGTAATGCAGTTGATGTAGTTTATATGGATTTCAGCAAAGCTTTTGTCAAGGTCCCACATGGGAAATTGAAAAAGAACTTAAAAGCACATGGAATCCAGGGTAACATGCTTTTCACTATTTTTTTCATGTAAACGTACATGTGACAATAAATTTCTATTCTCCTCTAAAATTGGCTTAGTGGCATGAGACAGAGGGTGGTGGTGGAAGGCTGTTTGTGTGATGGGAGGCTGGTATCCAGTTGTGTACCGCAGGGATCAGTGCTGGGTTCCTTAGGGTTTGTGATACATTTAAATGATGTGGATGAGATTGTGAGGGGAGGTGGTGGATGGTGATTATACGTACATTTGTGGATAACATGAAGATTGGCTGGGTGGTTGACAGTGAGAAAGAAGGTCTTAGTTCAATAGGATATAGATGGATTGGTCAGATGGGTAGAACAGCAGCAGGTGGAATTTAACCTTGATAAGTGTGAGGTGACACACTTTGAAAAAAGTAATGGGATAAGGGAGTACTCAATGAATAGCAGACACTAGGAAGCATAGGGGGATCTTGGAGTGCTTGTCCACAGATTACTGAAGGCAGCAGGACAGTAATAAGCTGGTTAAGAAGGTATATAGAATACTTGCCTTTATCAGTTATCGCATAGATTATAAGAGCAGGGCAATTATGTTGGAGCTGTACAGAACTTTGGTTATGCTACAGCTGGGTACTGTGTGCAGTTCCTGCAATATAGGAAGGATGTGATTGCACTGGAAATGGTACAGAGGATTCACCAGGATGTTGTCTAGTGTGGAGAAGTTTAGCTATGAAGAGAGGCTGGGCAAGATCAGGTTTTTCTTTTCTGTAGAGCAGAGAAGGCTGATTGAGGGGTAAATAAAATTATGAAAGGCATGGCAAGACTTAGCAGCAGCAGTTGGACCTTGATGTTGAGGGGTTCAGGAAGAAGTTTCGGGACCTCAGTGGTTACAATGACAGCCAGTGCACTCTGGAGGGCAGGATGAAATGTCATAGGGGTGACAGGGAACAGTCTAGTATTCAGTCTGAATCTCTCCATTCTGGAAGAGTATCAAGTGTACTGAACAACACTCTACCAAAGTAGAAACGGCTGCAACCAAAGAGGCAGCAGATTTCACTTGGGAGCAGAGGGTCATAGAGTCACACACCACAGACTGTTGTGGACAGCTGGAGGGGGCCTGCTATTGGATGGACAATCATGTTAAGCACCCTTACAAGACCAGCTCATCAATAGTACTCAAATTATCATAATACAGTGAGCTCTGTTGAGCCACATACATTTTTGTCTGATTGCCAAATCACAATCTCTCGGGGATGCAGTAAACAATGCAAATTGATGTAGAAGTTGCCCCTTTTGGCACAAACCAACTTTTGCAAGCCCTGCACAATGTGGAAATCTGGCTGGATGCCATTGCCTCACTAGGGGAAGGGTGGCAAGGTTGTGGCTCGAGGGTGGTGTAAGATGCTGGGTGGCTATCATGCCAAGGCCACATTGGAAGGTTTCTGGTTCAGCCTCCCTGAAGGGAAGCTGATTTTTGCTGGATGCTGCCACCTCGTACATGTCATGTGGCTCACCAGGAGCTGCCCATTAAATGCAAGCTGCCTGGGAGCACACGAAGAATGAAGAGGAGAGAAAGATGGGAAGGTGATGGATATGTCTAGGGACAGGCTGGCAGCAGAAATGTTTAAGAGACACATGGCCACTTGCTTGCCATCACCGTCTCCACAGATCTCCTGAGAGCAACAGCAGGATGACACACATCCCTCTGCCATTCCTCTGCTGATGTTACTCCACCAGGGGAAACCAGAGTCTTCACCAGCTCCATGGGCAGCAAGAGCTACAGCAGCAGTAGGATCTGGTACTGGTGAGGACAGCCTATAAGGGCACAATAGCCTGCACTGTCAGACCAGCAGAGACTGAGTGTGTGGCCCGAAGCCAAGTCCATAAGATCAGTCCGCAACAAACAGCCCTCTCTGCTTAAGACAGACCATCAGTGTTGATGCCATCTCAGGATATCCCAGGGCAGTGTCTCCTAGATCTCTGGCTGCAGGTGTGAGTACCTGCCTCCTCATGGATTAGGAGGGTGCCTTAAAGGTGGCTGCAGGCCTTTGCCAGTGGATCATGTCTACCTCTGCAGAATCTCACAGGCATCACATGATCCAGCAAGCTGCCACAATGCCTCTATACTGGAACGTTCACAGCTGCCTGCCACCACCGCCCACCACTTCCCCCCACCCCCCCCACAA